TCATCCGGTACTAATCAATACATTGGTTTCTATTTATATATTAGCTTATATAGCTTAATTATTAAGCATGTCGCTCATCCGGTACTAATCAATACATTGGTTTCTATTTATATATTAGCTTATATAGCTTAATTATTAAGCATGTCGCTCATCCGGTACTAATTAATTATTAAGCATGTCACTTATCCGGTACTAATTAATCATTAAGCATGTCACTCATCCGGTACTAATTAATCATTAAGCATGTCGCTCATCCGGTTCTCATCAATACATTCGTTTAAATTGATATATTAGCTCATATAGCTTAATAACATTGGTCTCATAATTAGTGGCACGACTTTGAGACCTTGTAATTCCTCTAGTTTTCATATCCAGTCAAACAGTATGAAAAGAAAACTTGTTGGACACTTTTGCAAGATTTTAAAATAAAATAAAAATTGCGGGATGAAAGATTCCCTGTTTCTCTCGTTTTTCCATTTTTAAAAGGGCCACAAAAAGACTTTAATTTCATGACAGAATGCTTAATTTAACCTTGGACATGTCATGTTTAAAGAGATTCAGGTCGTCTTTACAGTCTAATCCTTTATGGGTAACCCTGTACATTATCTAGTAATCATTTATTTATAAAATTTAAAATGTATTTATTGAGATTTTAGCCGAAATCTATCTATCTATCTATATATCTATCTATCTATCTATCTATCTATCTATCTATCTATCTATCCATCTATCTATCTATCTATCTATCTATCTATCTATCTATCTATCTATCTATCTATCTATCTATCTATCTATCTATCTATCTATCTATCTATCTATCTACCTGATATGCGCAATATCGTTTTCTGATTTCTGCCAGGAATACCATAGACAGGCCTCACCGGGCTCACAGTAACCTTGCTGGGATGGGTCAGCTTCAACAAACTAGGAATACAAGGATCAAACTGAGTCTCCTGTTCATCAAATTAAAGGGACTGTTAATGTAACTTTCAGTGACCCCGCTATTTTAGAAGTTGCATGCCCGATTAACAAAAAGACCCTGTAAACCTTCGTCTGAATAAACTTTATTAAGATATCCTTATTTTTCAGTTGATTTTAACACGTATTAAAGATAGAAAAACAACGATATCTTCCTTATTGATACACAGATGAAGATGTAAAGAGTACTATTGTAAATCAAACATTCAACACTTTAATTGGAGGGGGGGGGGGGGCACATATCATCCATTCTTCTTTGTAAACTTGAACTCATTTGGCTTAATTGCCTTAATAACTAACTTTCCTGGAGTTTAACTTTAATTTGAAGTAATTGGCAAAATTCTCNAATAATAATAATAATAATAATAATAATAATAATAATAATAATAATAATAATAATAATAATAATAATAATAATAATAATAATAATAATAATAATAATAATAATAATAATAATAATAATAATAATAATAATAATAATAATAATAATAATAATAATAATAATAATAATAATAATAATAATAATAATAATAATAATAATAATAATAATAATAATAATAATAATAATAATAATAATAATAATAATAATAATAATAATAATAATAATAATAATAATAATAATAATAATAATAATAATAATAATAATACTGATAAGATAATATACGTTTACTATAGTGCATTTTATGGAAATTGTGCAGGGCTGTTTTGTTATTCTAAACATAACTGTTTGGTGTGTGTGCAATCATTTTTCTGCAAAATAGGAATTTTTCAACTTTGCATTTTCAGTCCAACGTTGTCCAAGAAAAACATAAACAAATTCTAAAACGAAATCTACCACAGATACGGCACCCCCACATAATAATCAAAAATTATTCACAAAAAGGATTTTAAATTCACTTAGTGTCAGGAGTTAGGACACCCTGTAGTAAAAAAATGAAATTTACCTCCTCACAAGTTGGGTTGGATGACGTAGAAAACAAGGATCCACATTTATGACACTTAACTCGATCTACACAGGAAATATGAGTTCTCAACATACTTGATCTATTTTTACATTTCCGTAATTTCCCCCAACCTCTTGTAAAAAGTAGATAGACGTCAATTGTTATCTCATTAAAACGGGATATAGTTTGAGACAAAATTTTAGAATCGTAAACAAAATCAGTTTCAAAATCTATTCAGAAAACTTTCCGCTAAACCTGATTTTTCTATCTTCAGATCAAAGCTAAACTGGGTTTAAGAAAATGGCTGTCGTGGTAGTTTCAAGTGATATTCCATTTAAGACAGGCATACCCGATTCACTGTAGTAACTTTAAACATCTATTGGATTAAAAATAGGGAAGATGTTTTTTTTTGCCTGAGCGTTGTTTAATTCTGACAATTTCGTTCCTTGTTTCTGAAGCAGAAACCAAAACGCAAAACAATAAATTTTCAAAGAAAAGAAAATGGATATCTCATCCAATCTTTATCATACAAAAGGTACCATTGTGAATCGGACATGGCACTCTAGAAAAGGAGAATGGAGATGGACTTCAGATTAAATTGATAAAAAAGAGGATTTTCTCCTTAAACCTGGTTTACCTGATCGACTTCTAACTGGAGAAGTATCTGGTCTTCGTTCTACTTGGGTTGATGATGAACCCCGACTAGATGGTCGGGTAGGGGGTTGAGTAGGTGGTTGGGTAGGTGGCTGTGTAGGAGGTCGGGCAGTTTCAATCCTAGGTGGTGCAGTTACAGGAGCTCTAGTGGTGGTCTGGATAGACTGGACTGGAGCAGTTTTAGGTTCTCCGGGTAGGATATTACATAGATCTGAGGTACAGATACAGGCTAGGATAGTGTCTGATTCTACAGGTTCCGGAGAACAGATTGGAGTTGGATCTACAGGGTTATCTATACTACCCAGCAGAATACTGGTAGGGAAACATTCGCGTATAACAGCTGAAACACAAAGGAATGAAAGGATAACAGCTGAAACACAATGGAATTAAGTCTAATTTTCTCTAATCCCTATATCTTTGCAACCCAATGGAGTAGATCTTAAATATTTTTTAAAATATTCTGTTAGATCAAGTTAATTTAAGTTTAAAATGTAAAGGTTGAAAATATATAGGAATTAGAGAATTTGAGTTTGTGGCAACGATTCAATTTTTAAATATTATTTGAAAATAGCTTCAAGAAATTCAAGTCCGAGCAAAAGTGACTGAATTTTAATCATTTGTTTAGGATACCTGTATCCGTGTCTGACGTTCTCCAGGAGTAGTAAAGACATGCTTCACCGACATCACATTCCTTACTCTGAGACGGGTCTGTTGGGTCAAAGACGGGACAGGACGGAGCATCAGTACTGTACAAGCTTCCGCAGGTGAAACATTGGACCCGGGACGGATTTTTCCTGGTCGGAGGAACCGTCTCTAGTCGGTTATTTCGCGGTCGATCGGTTGTTGTTGTTTGGAGAATTTCCAGAATATCATCAAATGTTGTTAATTCTATGGTGGTTGTTGTTGTTTCTATGGTGGTTGTTGCTGTTGTTGTTGTAGTGGTGGTGGTTGTGGTTGTTGTGGTTAGTGTAGGTTCTCTGTTAAATAAAGCTGTGAAGTAAGAAAATAATTGTTACTTAACAACAAATTAGATTTTCATGCAATTGGAATAAGGTGGGGCTAGGGAGGGGGGAGAAGGTTGGAGGGCCAGGGATGGGGTGGAGGGGAGGGGTCAAGGTTGGATATAAAAAAGTGCAAACCTTAAATCTCGGATCAAAATGTAAATATTGCATAAAACCACGCCAAACCACATTAACCTTTCTTACAAAAATATTCAAACTTTTTTTTTGCCAATAAATGCATTCTTTTTGCACATATGAATGCAACGGAAATACCTGGATATAAGTGCATTGCAAGAGATCTCATTGCAAGCCCGTCTTTGTCTGTTCCCCCCACTGCAGGGTTTACCCCCAACAGAGGCAGCTCGTAGTACACCCCGGGTTCGCACCTTAACCAACCAATCAATCAATCAATCATGATTTTAAGTAACTCATCAACTTTTGCACAAAGCATTTATTTTTACGACGATTAGTTCTAAGAATTAAATATTTCAATTATCATTTATTGCAACTGACAGAAAACAATCTACATTAAAATCAAAGCGTTAATATATTTTTGCAATTTTTGACATTCAGTGATCAAATTTTCCAATTTAATCTTTAATCTTCAATTCTCCATTTTGAAATCTTAAAATCCTTAAATCAACTTAATCTTATCTTCTCTGTTCTTAATTCTAAATCGGAAATCTTTAGTTTTGAACTCTACAGCTTCGATCTTGAATCTAAAAGTTTATATCTCTAATTTTCGATCATAGATCTTTAATCTGCGATCATACATGTTAAATCTGCAATCAACGATCTTTATTTGATTTCTAGCTCTTTAAACCTTGATCTTAAATTTGAAATCTCAATCATAAATTAATATCATTTTAATTGATCCGCCATTTGAAGAGAGACAAGCCTGATTCACAACAGTATATTTTAAACCTTTATCTGATCTGATATGTGTTGAGATATTTCATTTTTCTAGCTTAAATAGTGTTAAAATTATATTTGATTTAAATTGAAAATAATTTTGAGATAAAGATGGATATCTTGTTCATTCTTGATAAGAGGTTGTGAATCGAACACTCTACTGTACAAATGGAGAGCCAATTTAAACTGCGAATACAATCCTTTGAACCCAAATTTCAATTTAAATCGTTTATCCATGTATCTAAAATTGCTGCAAATATATTGATCACGTTTTCATCCTGTAGACTCAAACTTTAATTGCTCCTTACTTTTTTATCAGAAGTAATTTTTAACTTTTATCACGGTATTCTATGCATCATGGTATTCTAAGCATCTTGGTATTTAATGCATCATGGTGTTCAATTTGCTAGCTTTGCATGCTTTGCATAATTAATATTTTTTTAGAAAGAGTAAAATTTACAATATGCGTAATTTCTTGTTGCGTAAGTTTCTAATAAGCGGAATAATATTATATAATTTTTTCGAAATGAAAGATATTTTGGTATTTTTAGGAAAATAACAAATCCACACTTTTATCTTTAAAAGTAACAATATAAGACTTTGACATGCATACAATGTACAATGTGCATATAATCTATGTGGAAACACGACAATGGTTTGGGGCAACAGATGCAACAGTTCACAGTGCATTTTCTTTCATAAGTAAATGCAATTATTGCATTTAATCTTCTCAAGTTACATTTTGGTTTATTACACATGATTTACGTTACTATACAGGAGTCCTAATAAAAATGAAAACGTGAAAAAATAAGACAGAATATCGGTAACTTTTGCCAGTTCTTCTTCGTTCAGAGAACTCTTGATCAAAGCTTTACGTTATGTTAATCTACAGATTAATTTAATTTTTATTCGATATCCCGTAGAGAGGACCTTTGAACAACCAATCAGAAGCATGAAAGGAATTGACTTTTTGTCACAAACTCAAACTTTCTAATGCTTATATCTTGCCAACCTAATGGTGTAAACCTTTTTTATTTCAAACTTAGATCACTTGAACTAACACAATTCATAGTTTGAAATATCTAAGGTCTATGACATTGGGTTCTAAAGATATAGGGATTAAAAAATCAGAGTTTGTGGCAAAGACTCAATTCCTTTGCACAAAACCAATGAGAAAACAAAGAAATTTCGGATAACCAAGGTCAGGAGATCAAGCAGATTCTGCGTAATTTCTAAAGTGGATATCGAGATCGACATTATGGGTATCCATGTTCCCAGCTCAGAGATGGGAACTTTAGAATGGGATACCTTTAATCCCGACTGCTTAATCCGAATATCCAATGTGGATACTTTTAATTTCTTGCAAACTCCGCTCTTTTTTTGATTACGTACAGAAAAATCAAAAACCGGTTTTTTCAAAATTAGAGAGTCCCTCCCGTCTCTGTACATTAATCTTAATTAAATGAGAGAACTCTTATTAAATTTTATTTTTTTCTGATACGCCACTCTGATTGGTTGAATTTTAAATACTTTTCAGGATACAAGTACAAAACTAGGTTAGTCTATACTATCGAGATTAACCCTATTCCTGCTGGGGGGAGGGTCAATTTGACACCCCCTGTAGTTTTTTTTTTACATAACTCAAAAAGTATTGGTCTGAAGCTGTTTAAATTTTCTGACTTTTCAAACATACCCAAAGCCCTCCTTTTAGGCCTAAAACCGGGCTTTTTCATATTTGGACATCAAACATGGTATTTAGAGGGGGGGGGGGTTTGACCCCCCTCCAGCATATCCTGGTTTTCAAGTATTTCAGCAGAGATAGGGTTAAGATAAAGAGACGATTAAGGGTTGATCTCGATATCCACCATTCCAAAGTTCCCAGCTCAGATAAGATTTATTTTTGATGATTTACTGAATTTTTTTTACCTGTGTTCCTTTATTACAGGATCTGGAACATTCACTCCAGGGCCCATAGTTAGACCATTGACAGTTTACAACTAAACAATAATAATAATACGGCCCATAGTTAGAATATTGAAAGTTCCCATGATTAAATAATCATAACGATACTCCAGGACCCAAAATTAGACCATTAATAAATAATATCTGTAATATAGATTAAACTTTTTATAGGATTTTTTTACTGTGATTAAATTTGAGAACCTTTGTTATTTTTCAATAATTCGCTCATTTTGAACCTATATTTTTAACCTCAATTTTTAACCTTCATTTTTAACCTCCATTTGTTACCTCTATTTTTACCTTCATTTCTAACCTCCATCTTTAGACTCCCTTATTAACCTCCATTTGCAATACTCCCAACCCCCCTTACAATGTGATTGGCAATAATTAAAAAAAAGGTTTTTGAATTTTTTGAAGGTTTTAAAAGATCTGGGAATTTCATAATTTGTCCGTTTTCTTTTTGCCAAACTTTTACATAGAAAAGACAAGAAAAAAACCTGAAAAAATTTCAAATTAATGTGTTAAACTCTTTTCATGTTTTTAAATCCAACACGTTAAACTAGAGTGAATTGTGCGCGCGTTAAACTAAAGTGAGTTGTGCGCGCGTCAAACTAGGGTGAATTGTGCGCGCGTCAAACTAGAGTGAATTGTGCGCGCGTTAAATTGAAATCTTACACGTTTCAAAACTCCTCTTATTGAGGAGCTATTGAGGAGGACAAACATGTTTTGAATTTCTTCAATGGAACCGGATATATGTGCTTTTATCATATTTGTGCGTAAAATCATAACTAGAGGAGCAACGAGGTCATAAAGCTGTACCAGTCATAACGTCTAGAAAATTATCCTACCTTGAAGCATATTTCCATCCTGAGACTAGTTCATGAACACAGTTTGCTGGTTTACTATTTCTAATCCCAGCTATAAATTGTCCAAGCTCAGGACCTATCACCCATAAACTCAGCTGGTCCCGCTCACTTGACAAAATAAAAAAAATGATCAAAGATAACTCCTAAGAACGGTTGTAAAAATATGCTTTTATACTTTTTAATTGAAATAAAACAAAAAGAATAAGAGCCTCTGAAAAAAACCTTAAAAGTTAAAACGAACTGTCATCATATTTTTATGTGACCCTCACTATTCACACCGTACGTTACCCTTGATACCTTAATCTCATTAATAATGGGAAGATAGATTACGTTCTTCTTTTGGCTTGAAGGGTTTAATTCTGATAATTTCTTTAATATTTCCGTAGCAAGAAACAAACACTTATTGTACAGAAATTACCAATGAAAAAATTAGTTTATATTTTAATCAGCCAACCGTTTTAAGGTACAGATGTGAATTGGACCGACCACTTTATCAATAGAAGGCCACTTAAAATTACGTTTGTAGTCCACTTAGAAATAAATTATAAATTGTGTAACCTCTAAAATCTGTAAAACCTCTTAATTTGTATATCAAATTCAATTGCATTTAAGATTTGACCTAATTAAATGTTTATAAATCGATTTAGCAATAAAGTTGTGTTGAACTAATTAAGTTTTAAACCTTGTGCACAGCTAGATATATACTATTCATTAACTCGTGCAAAAATAGTTTTTATCTCCTCTTCTAGAAGTTTAATGCACAGTTATCTTTCTTTGCATAATTTTATTAAAACCATCAAAGTTGCTGCAGTATCCCCCCACCCGTGCAAATCTCCCTGCACTCCCGCCCCCTCCCCATTTAGTAGTAGGCTTAATGACTATTTCCGTGTTTACTGCTTGGAAGTGTAAGGGTAAGGTTATAGTTGCAGAACCATCTATTATGCGGATCCAGAAGCAAGGTCCTTGACCATTAAATTAATTATCAAAATTTCAGAACTTCTAACACCGAAAAAGCTAATTGCATAGAGAATATTTTACATGGGATTTCATAAAAGGTTAAGAGAAGGGGAGGGGATAGATATATTATAAAATCGTATGCGTCTCCAATGTTAGATCAAATATTAAATGACCAAAAGTTTTTCGAAATTACGCAAATTTTATTAGATTGAGCGATTATTTAAATTCATAAAAAATTTTCTAAAAAAACTTTCAGAAAAACACAAAGAAAAACTTACTCCATTATACATCGAGGTTTTGATCAAATTATTTTTTAATTTTATTATTACCAAAAAGGTTAAAAAGGTTGATTTGCATACCTTGTAAAAAAGGTTAAACATGTTGATTGGTAAAAATGTTGATTGTTACCTTGTAAAAATGTTGATTGTTACCTTGTAAAAATGTTGATTGTTACTTTGTAAAAAGGTTGATTGTTACCTTGTAAAAAGGTTGATTGTTACCTTGTAAAAAAGTAGATAAAGAGAGAATTCCTTCCTTGTCTTCTATATACAGGTCTACCATTATACTTGTTATCTACCCTGGTGTAGATACCCATATACAGAGCCTGGTCAATTCTAGCATTTCCAGTAGATGCTACAACCACCTGGCTACAGCAACCATCTAGACATTTAGCAACCATTAGCCTGGATACATCAACCATTTAAACATTTAGCAACCATTAACCTCGATACAGCAATCATTAACCTGGCTACAGCAAACATTAACCTGGATACAGCAACAATTAACCTGGCTACATTAACCAGTAACCAAAGCCTGCGATTTAAAAAAAAACTCGGGAAAATAGGACTAAGGTCTAAGCTGTCGTTGGGCCTTTTTTACGGCTTGAGCTTTCGGATTCAACCTGCATCTTGTTTTCAACAGAATTGAGTTCATAAAACCGGTTTAATATTCTATTTGGTGGATTTTTATGGTAGGAATCGGCACATTCCGAGGTTTGATGAAAACAAGACTCAACATCGAGCCTTATTCTCCCCTAAAACCAACCAAGGTCGGTTTTTTTTCATTAAGTCGAGCCGAAGATCTTGCAGCTGTCAATCACGTGACACAAGCTGTCGTCAGAGTTGGGTCAACGCTTGGGTCTTAAAATCGGGCTTAAGTCGAGCCGAAGATCTTGCAGCTGTCAATCACGTGACACAAGCTGTCGTCAGAGTTGGGTCGAAGATTGGGTTTAAGGAATTATGGCTCAAGCCGAAGTTTTAAAATCGCGGGCTCCGGCTACAGCAACCATCAATACATTTAGCAACCATTAACCTGGCAACAGCAACCATTAAACTGGCAACAGCAACCACTAACTTGGCTACAGCAACCATCTAAACATTTAGCAATTAACCATTAACCTGGCTACAGAAACCATTAATCTGGATACAGCAACCATTAATCTGGCTACAGCAACCATTAACTTGGCTACAGCAACCATTTATCTGGCTACAGCAACCATTAATCTGGCTACAGCAACCAATAACCTGGCTACAGCAACCATTACCCTGGCTACAGCAACCATTAATCTGGCTACAGCAACCATTAATCTGGCTACAGCAACCAATAACCTGGCTACAGCAACCATTAACCTGGCTACAGCAACCATTAACCTGGATACAGCAACCATCTAAACGTTAAACAACCACCCAACTACTTGCAGCAACATCAATTTGTGATCGTTAAACATAAGAACCCAAAAAGATTTTTTTTTCGATCTTTGTAAAATACAGTGTGAATATTGTAAAAATTATCCTATAAACTTTAATGGAACATCAACAATTGAATGCAAAAAAAATAATCTTCTTCTGTATGAATGAAAACTGTAAATTTAAAGAAAATATACTTTAGCCAGAACTGTTAGAAGCAAGTAAAGCAGAGCAAGAAGCATGCAAAATAAAAATCAGGCAATAAATTAAGAGTAAGTTAAGTACATGAAACATGCAAAAATCAGGCAATGATGAGGGAGAAAGGTCCTGAATACCTGAACGGCATGAATGCCTGTTACAAATCCTAACTTCTTGAGTTGCTCCGGGACAGGTTTGCTCCTGTATCTCCGGTCCTACTAGGAGAAGTCGAAACCTCTTCTGGATCCCAACCCCACACCCCCTGGTGCAGCGGGACCAGGAGCCCCATTGGGACCAAATACATTCCAACTCTGCAGACTTTTTATTTTCTTCACCAGCTTTGATGCTTTCTTTGATTGTAATTGGGATTTTTTCAGTAGCACTGATACTGTCTTTTGAAGAAGAAATGTTAACTTTGAAACTTTGTTCCGTTGCATTCCGGAGACTTTTTTCCGGAAAACGTATTCCTAGTTAATTGGTTAATTATTAGTAAACAAGCAGTTAGTTAATTTCTATTAATTATTAGTATGTTAGTAGTCTTGAAATAATACAGGTAGAACCAGAAAACTGTGAAATAGAAAGACGACATTAAAAAAATACTGAAGTGACTTTGATTTTAGCACAAAACAAATATTGTTAATAGTCAATTATTATATCACTTATTCCGTGAACAAATGCTGTTTCTAATGTTTATTGGACTATCTAAAGTCATAGCTTAAGTCTTAAAGTCGTCTTCCTGTTCTCACTGTACTTACAACATTAACTTTCTAAATTATTCGAGCAACAAAATTAGCAAAAATGCAAAAGTTATCTTAAGCGGACCTTTTCCGCCCATTTCACACAAAAATTGAGTAAAATATTTGGATAAATTGTATTTTATTAAACAATAAACCTAACAAGCACAAAGAAAATTATAAAAATTCATTTAAAGGTTTTGTTAAGAAAAGGTTTTTATCTATTTATCATCATCTAAAGTTTTTAGTCCCAATACAAATATTTTTTCAATTGAAAAATAATGATTTTTTATTTCCTTTTTTAAAGATAAAAATATGTTCCTTAAAGTTATAAAAAATAAAAAATAAGTTCAGCAGATTAGTATATTTACATTTATTGTATGTACATAACAGTACATAAAAGTACATAAAAGTACATAAAAGTACATAAAAGTACATAAAAGTACATAAAAGGCTTGATAACGTAATCTAAAGTAATTCATAGTTAAAGACACTGCTATTTTTACACAAACTCTAATTTTCAAACTCTGCAATATCTTTGAAAACCTTTAATATCTTAAACTATGAATACTGCTAGAGCAAATTCCAAAAAATTAAAATATTAAAGGTTTGTATAACCGCCAGGTTGCAAAGTTAAAAGGATTAGAAAATAAGAGTTTGTTGTTAATAGTATAATTATTCCTCTGATGCTATAAATAATATCTGTTGGCCAATTTTAAGCCTCGATTTAGAACGTTATTTTGTTCGGTTTAATTATTGGTAAAAATTGCGTCGACAGCCCTTTTATGCATGACGTTAAAACATAAAATTAAAATGATTTAAAAAAGTAATTTAAATGGGCAATGCAAAGTGCAAATAGGGTTCATTAAAAATACGTTAAAAATCTTTTAAAATCAGAACCACAACTAAAAGCTAACGCTACCGCTTAAAAGATGTTTTTATCTTAGTTAAAAGCATAGCATGTGAAAACAAGTTTTTCTGTAAAAAAAACATGATGTTTTTAGTCAACGCAAAGTACCCAGGGGCGTAAGAGGGAAGGAGTCACTGGGTGAACGGGCCCCCCCCCCCCCCCAACATTATGGCTCTCGTATACCCTTTAAAACACATCGATCAGTATGACAATAACTGACATCTTTGAGAGGTACGATTTTAGAGCGGTACGATTTGCTTTTTTGTTTTACTAGTTCAAAAAATTGAGTACTTAAATGTGTATGTGAATAAGCCCTTATCTTATATACTGAAGAAAGTTTGTTAATTTATACATTTACTGAATTGGCATTATCCCGACATGTCACCTTGTATGAGAATATTTACTGTCTTACGTTCATAAATATTCTCAATATCATTTCATTGCCAACGTATGTTAGTATGTACGAATACTATATGAATCATATAAGAACCCTNATCCCACATTATTGCATTTCCTACATTATGTTTTGCTATATATACAAGCATATTATTATTAATAAATCTATGTACAGAAATTAGTCATCCGTCTTAAGCTCTAATTTTTAAATCCTTATTTATTTTAAACCTTTATCAGTTGAAATGATTAGTCGTGATAACGATAAATCCAATATTCAAATTTAAAATATATCAAAGGTTTACACCATCAGGTTGCAAAGAAATAGGAATTTAAAAAACTAGTGTTTCAGGCGAGTAATCAGTTGATTTAAGTTTAATTTCCCATTTAATCATAAATTAATTGTGAATCTTTAAATGTAAGTTTTTTGTTTAAAAAAATATTATACAGACCCTTTAAAAATAACTGATATTTTTGTTTACCATTGATTGAGTTCGTTTCCAAATCCTCATCCGTATCCGGGTCTAAATTTACATCAATAAAAAGCCAGAATGAAATACTAAATAATAATCATCTTATTTTTCTAGTCGTTCTATTTTAATTTCTTTAAAAAATTAGCAAATTTTAGTAAAGCTAAAGCATGTTAGAAGAGTTAAAAGGCACATGATATTGTTTTTACACTTGTTTTAGTTCTATACAGTTCTAGTTATATAAAGGCTTGGTTGGTCAATTAGGAATGGAATAGGTACAACAAAAATGGATAAGATGTTTCCGTACTGCAGACCTGTTTTACTAGTTTTTGTTTATGTACTGCAGACCTGTTTTTACTGTTTTTGTTTGTTTACTGTACGGCAGTTTACATTTTTTGTTTGTGTACTGCAGACCTGCTTTACTTGTTTCTGTTTCTGAACTGCAGACCTGTTTTTTTTTACCTGTTTCTGTTTGTGAACTGCAGACATGTTTTACCTGATTCTGTTTCTGTACTGCAGACCTGTGTATTACAGAACCTGACATCTACCGGTTTACCGTCGCACTCGGCGCCGCCAGGGTCAGCTCGGCGGGATATTTGCCGCCGCCTAGAAAAAAAGGAAATGTCGACGTAATTCTAGTCACTCTATCACAGAGAACTAAACTTACAAAAAATTGGATCATTTTTTTCGACTGGGTCGATTTTTAAAGTGTCACATTTCATCGATTTGTGTCGAGGCTCGCTAACTAGCTTATATCACTGGGCTCTATGAACATTGATCTAAGTAAAAATGGGAAAGATATCGTTGTTCTTCTATCTTAAAAAGATATAAATAATGTCAATTTCCTTCCATGTTTCTCTTGCATAAATAATTTGAAAAATAAATAGATGTGAAAAGAAATTAATTTAAATCATATCTTTATATGATTTAGTGACATGCAAAAACGTAGTTCATTTATCCGTTTAGTGATTAGCACGTTTTTCGATAAAAAATTTGATTTATCGATTATATAAAGAATTGATTTATAATTGATCAAATGAATCGATCAATTGATCAATCGTTGAATTGATCGATATTACCTCTGTTGTGTTCCTCCTCCGCAAGTTTTAGAGCAATCAGACCAAGGTTCATATTCTCCCCACTCACAACTCCTTGGAATACCAAATTTTATTAATATACTTAATTATTCATTAATTTATATACTTACTAGCTGAAGTGCCCGGCTTTGGGAAAAATAAAAAATTGAATTTTGAAAAATAAATTTCTATCAAAAAAAATTGCAAATTATTTCAACTTTTTCTCATATTACCCCCGGGGCACCCATTGGTTGTCTCAAAAAATGTCAGCTCATTTGGTCCAGCCGTTTGGCCGGCTATAGGTAACATATATACGAATATCTTGTTTTACTGTATAGATTATATATAACATGTATCTTCATTACTCTTTAAAATACATATTTTTAATAATAGATTTCTTAATTGTCTTACATATTTGTTTTACATATATTTATGCACAACCCCTTTTTAACATTTAAAACGTTGTTTAATGAAGGAACAGTTGTAAAATTACATAAAACATTACGCAAATATAAAACACAGATTTTATAAATGATTTGGTACCAATGTGTTACATTGCATCTTCTATATATAATACCAAAATGGATACCAATTTTATTATTATAATTAAATTAAGAAACCAAATCCTCAAATTTATGCTTTTCTAATCCTTCACGCACCTCTGACCCTTTAGTAAAAGTAAATTCAACCTAAAGTTTGACCGCGTCAACCTTGTTGCACCGGCTAGTCCTATTGAGTGGCTGCTTCATTTTCCCATTGACCAGTCTATACAGTACAAACTGGGACCGGAAAAGTTGACCCGGCTCGGAAATTCAAATGTACTACGGCTGCCTGTGCCTTGCTAGCTTTTAGCTAAACTACCTACAGCCACAGTTCTAATCCAATTTCACCGATTAACTCTTACAAATTCCTTACTTAAATCCTCATGAATCTTTAACATCGAACCTTTGATTCAGGGTTAGAACTGGCGGTAGGTAATTCAGCGACATGTTACAACCGGCAGTAGGTGTTAGAACCGGCAGTAGGTAGTTCAGCGACATATTAGAACCGGCGGTAGGTAGTTCACCGGTGGTAGGTAGTTCAGCAACATGTTGGATCCGGTGTAAGGTAGTTCAGCGACATGTTAGAACCGGCGGTAGGTAGTTCAGCGACATGTTAGAACTGGCGGTAGGTAGTTCAGTGACATGTTAGAACCGGTGGTAGGTATTTCAGCGACATGTTAAAACCGGCGGTAGGTAATTCAGCGACATCCCCAAATCATTGAATTTGGTCCCTGGCCTTACTTTCTTCTAGTTCAGCGACCTTTCAAATTCATTAAATCCAGTCCCAGAATTTCATCACTTTGTATAAATACAGAAGTGTATAACTGTACTCTATGGCAAAAAAATCCCCAACCTGTGATAGCATGAGTAAGAAAATCAATAAATGCAATTGTTGCAACTAATTGAAATGCAAAATTTCTCTACTATTCAAGAAAAATCAAGCATGCAATCTAAAACTTTTTAACAGTGCTACCAATTCCAATAAATAAATCATTAAAACAGTTCGACTGAAAAATAACTATTTTTTATATACTTGCATACCTTACTTGTACTTTACTTAATACAGTAATTATTTATCAAACTTGTACAACGATTTATGTACGAAACTAAATCAAAATCTACCCCAATGTTTAGACTCCAAAAAGGAAGTTTCGTTTAAAGATTTTTTTCCTAAAGGAATTGAGTCTTTGCTACAAATTCAGATTTTCTAAATACCTATATCGTTGCAACCCGATGTCGTAGACCTTTGATAATTCAAACTATGAATTCTGTTAGATGAAATAATTTTAGTTTTAAACTTCAAAGGTTTACACATCAGGTTGTAAACATATAGAAATAAAAACAATTGAGTTTGTGGAAAAGACCCAATTCGTTCATCATACATTATGCTGTACACAAGAATTTATGTACACACCTAGGACATGGTTTAGATGAACATGATCTAGTATCTTGTATATCTCCTATACAAAACATTATACTGTGCAAAGATTTTTGTACAAAGCCAGGAAATGGTCTAGATGTACATGATCTAGTTTCTCGTACATCTCCTATTCAATACATCATGCTTTACAAGAATTTATGTACACACCTGGGACATGGTCTAGATGTACATGATCTAGTATCTCGTACATCTCCTATTCAATACATTATGCTGTACAAGGATTTATATACATACCTGGGACATGGTCTAGATGTACATGATCTAGTTTCTCGTACATCTCCTATACATTGTCTTCCTCCAGCCCGTGCTGGTTGCAAAACCTAAACTTACTCATTAAGTCATTTATTCAAATAATTCATTTATTTATTTATTCATTTAGTCATTTATTTAAATAATTCATTTATTCATTTATTCATTTAGTCATTTATTTAAATAATTCGTTTATTTATTTATTCATTTAGTCATTTATTTAAATAATTCGTTTATTTATTTATTCATTTAGTCATTTATTCAAATAATTCATTTATTTATTTATTCATTTAGTCATTTATTTAAATAATACATTAATTTATTTATTCATTTAGTCATTTATTCAAATAATACATTTATTTATTTATTTATTTTGTCATTTCTACAAACAATTAATTTATTTATTTATTCAGTTAGTCATTTATTCAAATAATACATTTATTTATTTATTCAGTTAGTCATTTATTCAAATAATACATTTATTTATTTATTCATTTAGTCATTTATTCAAATAATACATTTATTTATTTATTCATTTAAACATTTATTTATTTATTCAGTTAGTCATTTATTCAAATAATACATTTATTTATTTATTCAGTTAGTCATTTATTCAAATAATACATTTATTTATTAATTCATTTAGTCATTTAATCAAATATTACATCTATTTATTTATTCATTTAGTCATTTATTCAAATAATACATTTATTTATTTATTCATTTAATAATTTAATCAAATAATACATCTATTTATTTATACATTTAGTCATTTATTCATTTATTCATTTATTTATTTATTAATTTATTTATTTTTTCATTTATTTATTTCTTCATTTCTTCATTTATTCATTTATTCATTTATTCATTTATTCATTTATTCATTTATTCATTTATTCATTTGATCATTTATTCATTTATTCAACTATTCATTTATTCATTTATTCATTTATTCATTTATTCATTTATTCATTTATTCATTTTTTCATTTATTCATTTATCCAATGTTTATTACTTTATTATTTATACATATATAGATTCATCTCATTCATTCTACTCTTTATTTTATTTTTAAATTATCATTTGATCATTAAGTCAAATATTTATTCTTTTATAAACAGCTAGTTTTTTATATGCAATACATATTGAAACCAGTTCTCTCTGGGCGGAATTTGTAAACAAGAATATATGCATCAGTGATCGTTTAGTATCCGAGGAGGTTAAAACCATTAAATTTTGAAAACTTTGAAAATTCACTTAATAGTTTTCTATGACCAGAATATTTCATTGATTTTTTATGTGAAAGATGGATCCCATGGCAGGTTTCGACATCCGTATTGTGTTTACATTACCGCCCAGAGACAGTACACTGCAGTACAAAAGATGCGTACACCTCTGAAATAAGTTTCCTTGCTATAACCTTGATTTCATTGATCTCCGCTGATCTAAAAACTTATTTATGCAAGTCTCTGCATGGCAAAACCACCTCTTTACAAAGGAATGTAATTTACTTCAAAATTTATAAATTAGTTAACTATTTTTCTGAGAGTAAATGACGTGTTTTATACATTTATTTACTGATCTATTAATTTATAAATTTCAATTATTTTTTTATTATTCTAAATATCTTACTTGTACATACAGGGTTACCCACAAAGGATGAGACTGTAAAGACGACCGAAAACTCTCTAATTGTGACTATCCCAAGGATAAATTAAGTATTCCACATTAGATATAGTAATATAATGGCTTATATAATAACTTGGCAAATATACAAACAAACAATTACAGTTGCACGCAGGGAATTGTGAATATGACGAACCGTATACATTCAGTACAATCGTCTCTGAAGTCCCATATTTTGTGGGTAACCCTGTATATTATCTATAATAATATCTAATTATTATTTTTTTATTGAATCCGAACCTTGCGTTCTCTAAACTGTTCTCCCTGACCACATGTACTAGAACATGTACTCCATGTATTGTACCCGGACCATAGGCAGTCCACAGGAGGTCCAGATTCTAAACAAACATTATGTACTTCAGTACAAGATAGGTAAAACTGTACTGTTTAAAAATACGATCGGTTTAAAAATGCACCAATCTACAGCGCATACAGTGTATAGTTCATTGTCTGTAGTGCATCCTGGGTAAGAATTTTAAGCGAGTATTGTTGAATGAAACTCGAGAGTTTCGTTTTTAGGGCTTTTACATTAGTATGAATATTAATGTAGGAATTAGAAAACATAAGAATAATCGTATGAATTAATATTTCGAACAAAAAATTTGATATCTACAAAATTGACTTAACCCGGGTTCCGAAGATTTTCATTAAATTTTTCTTAAATTTCGGGCTCGTGTGCTGAAATCAAAATTCAGTTTCGACAAATAAAAATGATTTAATGAGTACACTACCTGAACACTCAACAGTTACGCCGCCTTCCCATCTCCCCTCCCAGGGTTCTTTTGTATCTAGTCCACCTAGTAAATATACATTGTTATTATCTGATTAAAGGGAATGTAAGCGTAATTTCAAGTAGCCAGCCGTATAATGTTTTTTTTTTCTTTTAAACTGTTTATTTTCATTTTCGGTTTCTTTGCGAAAGTAAATTGCGCATTTCTTGTTTATTAGAAGCAACGGAGAAATTCACAGAAATAAAACAATTTTTATAAAACAATTATCAATACTGATAATTACATATGTTGTTTTCTTAATGTATTATTTGTTTCAAACTAAAAAAAGATCTGTATCTCCTGTTTATAGTTCGCATAAAGTATGCAGTATAGCGCAGGCTTTTATGACCTTTCCATGTCCTAATGTTACAATATAAGCAGCAATTGTTTACATTCAAGTATATTTTATTCTCTGCCTAAACGCCTAAAGCTTATTTATTTACAAATCAAACGGCTTGGATAAAAGTCACGTATTCAAGTACTTTTTCTCAACTTAGGCGTATATAATTTAATAGTGATACAAGACGATTTGCACAAACGTTCTAGTGTGTATACAAGTATACATCTAAGCGGCCTAAAATCTAATACCACCTTTTCAAACTATTTTTTATTTTTTGTAATTTGAAAGTCAAAACGTATCTATACATTAATGGTATAATCGCAATACATGATTTACCAATTTACCAATTGGTTCATTTAGCTATAGGACAATGTACAACGAAATTTACTATGGGCCTCTATATTTGCTACATAGAGTAAACAAATTCTTTACTTTAAACTAACTTAACTTGGGGAAGGGGGGGGGGGAGTTGAGTACTTAAATTACGTTGACAATATTTTATATTTAGACGATTTAATACCATTACTTTAGTTTCAGTTTACTAAAGCTCAGTTTAAAGTTAAAGTTAAAAAATACTGTAAAAAAGGCTTTTAATTAAATTGAATTTATCCTTGAATAATGCTGATGAAAATGAAGATAAAGTATGTGAAACTAAACTGAAGAAAAGCTCCATCTATTGTAAAGAAGATGAATGATGAATAAGTCTGGTTTATAAAGACAGGATTCATCTCAACACAAATGAGAGACCTTGACTGTGGAACAAGGGTAAGAAGAACGGGGGGGGGGGTAGAGGGAAAGAAAAGAAGATAAAATGTAGATATTGTAAAAAGAGAAGTGACAAATAATCAAATTTTTTATTCACTATTTCTTTGCTATCTGGTGGTATAAACCTTTGAATATAACAGAATTCATGGTTTGAAATATCAAAAGTTTACCACTTCGGCTTGCAAAGATATAGGATTAAAAAATCTAAGTTTGTGGAAAGAACTCAGTTCCTTCTAGATATCATAAAGTTACACGCCAATAGATTGACAACATATCATTAATATCCAGATGGTTGCGAACATAATAAGTTTGCATTTATATTGAGTTTTGCATTTATATTGAGTTGAGATATGGAACAAAAAGATCATATTTTCTAATTTGACATTATTCCGCCGAAGACTAACCATAGATCGGAACTGTTGTGTGGGTTAATCTTGAATGCTTGATCTGGATATTCAATGTGGGCACTTTTAAGTTTGAGGATCAATGCGCGCTTAACCCCTTCATTTTAGTTCTCCCCTCAGTGTTTAGAAAGCAGGGGAATTTGATTAATCCGTAAGGGTGCATGTAAGATCGGGATCAATGCTTGATCCAGAAATTTTCACCACAAAAGTTCTGAATATTTACACGTGTTTATATTTTAGTCAGATGCATAAAAACAGAACATTAAACTCTACTTTATTAACTATTTTTGAGTCTAAATTGAGTTTCTCTTCTTTTTAAATATCTTTATTCTAATTTTTGCTACTTTTTTGTTTATTTAAAATATTCTCTTTTGTTAATATATTCTGAACTATGCATTTGTATAATTAATTCCATTTCACCTCAGCAGTACATGTTTTGTAAACAAATATTCAAATTACGTATTTGCATATTTTCAAACAAAATAGAACCTGACATAATTAACTGGATTTAAAAAAAACTTACTTCTATGCCAATGGCTGCCAGATTTAAGATAATCTTTTTTTCCTATAGACCATCCGAGCCCTCCAGCATTCCAAAATATGTATCTAAAGAAAAAAATGTTTAATCATCATCATTTTACGTTATTTAATATAACTATGAAAACATTACTATCAGAAATTGTATAAATAGACAAATCATTTGTTGATTAGGCCTACAGGGATTGTTAAAGTTCCCTAAATATAAGGAGTTAAATGCTCGATTCACAATTGTTAACTTTCTTTCTTTGGTCAGCTTAGAAAATCTGCAAATCGGATTAAGCGAGAAACCGCGAATGAAAATAATTACTTTTCTGGTGAAAACACAAGGATATCTCCATCATTTTTAATCAGACAAAGGTCTAAAGGGATACCGTAGTGAATCAGACATGCCACTCTATAAATTCAAACATTTCAAACTTAAAATTCCGTCCCTACACTTATATACACTCTACGTCAAACAAGATTGAAATCTGAACTGAGTTTAATTAAAGCTCATTTTGTTAAATAGCTATCGAGTATAGGATGTTTTGAATTTTTGTAAATATGTAAATATTTGCTTTTCTCTTAATTTTGTGTAAAATCAAAATTCAAAACTAGAAGAGATACAATTAAGGCCACACAGTCGCACTTGTAATGTCCTTTGCATTCAGTCTAGTTTAAATATAGTTTAAATATATTTTGTAATAAATGCTGTATTATAACTATATTAACCCCGGTATGTTAAAGGGGTACTAATGGATGCTGTTTAATTCAGGTTTTTAATTGTTGGCTTTTGTTTCTATGGGAAAATTCGAGGGGGGGGGGGCGCTTGCTGAATAGGTATAGAGTGTGAAGGGAGGGGCTGGGGGGGGGGGTGTTTGTTTGAGGCACAATTGAAATCCTTGGTAAAGTGAAAAAATCCTTCACTTGTTAATTAGTTGTTTTTTAAACATTTTTCAACTCATTCACAACAAGGAAGAAGGAAATGGAATCTATGCTTATTGAAATTGTTCCAGAATTGTGCAACCCTTTCCCCCTCTCGGGGGGGGGGGGGTAACGAGTAAAAACAAGAAAAAAATGTTTTCCCATATGCATACATTACGCGATTTTTAAAGAATGGGTTTGAACATGAATATGAATGTATTAAATGGACTATAAATCGTTATTTAAAGTAACAACTCTTGGAACAATACCCGATTCACAACGGTACCCTCGAGACCCTTGTCTGATCTAATATTATACGCCTTAAAGTTTCATTAAACTCATATCTTATAACTGCCCCTTCCCCTTCCCCATGCTGCCATATTTTGTCCCTGTAAGGTTGGTTCAGGAGTGGGATTGCATGGGCGTGAATGAAATTACAAAAAGATTTGTCCCCCCCTCCCCTCTGGTCCCGGTATCCTAAAAGAACTTATGATTTGGTTTTATCATTGCCTTGAGGTGTGAATAGTCACGCTATATACAATACTAATAGTCTGTATATTCACCAGGATTACAGGCCAATAATGCATAATGGGCGGGGGAAATTTTTGCGGTTTGGTTTGTGTCAGCTTTTTATCGATTTGTATTTCAAGGAACTATATATAAACTTAATTTCAAGTGACCCTCCAAGCTAAGATTGCAAAGTGTTTTTTTTTTAAATATTCCGTCCGCCATACTTGTCCAAAAATCAAAAGATATAATTTTTTCTATTTTTACTTGACACATTTTGTACGCCCCCCCCCCCTTGTTCTGACAGAATTGTGCATTCATTCAAAGATTCTATCTGTGCACGGCCATTTAACACATAATTAGAATATTTAAAATTATATAAAGTAAGACCCATGAAACAATGAAAGAGGAAGACGATATCAAAGCAATCTTATTTCATGTTTTTTAAAAAGCCAATAGTTTTACAAGTATAGATTAAAATCAACTTAATAAGAAAAAGTGTCTGTGTACACTGCACAAATGACATTGAACTATTTAAAATCATAACAGCTAGTCTTAAAGTAGTCTTACTGTTTCAATATGACTATGACTATAGGTTGCAATATCTGAATGATTTGTTTAAAATTGAATTGATTTTTTTTACGAACCGAGTCGTATGTTGCAACTTTCTGAATATGATTGGACGCTACGTTGTTCGGTACAAGTCGTTTTTAGCAATTTTCTCCTTATAGACGCAACAGATAGAAGTAAGATTAGTAGCGATCAAAAGCGCTTATTTTCGCCGTAAGTCTACACCCCTTTACATTTTTCACAAACACTCCCTTTAAGTGCTCATATGCATATTTTTTGGCAAAGATTTTCGCTTCTTTTTTATTATTTTTCAAATGAAGTTTAAAATTTTGCTTAATACGTTTAAATTTTTCAAATCTAATTTTACCATATTGGACGTATAGGCCTAACACCCCCGAATATGTATATTCTATATACTGTATTGAGTAGAGAAAGGTTTTTAACCTAGAAAATGAGAGGTTAATGAACAAACATGTTTTTAGTGATGAACTACATTTTGTATATTAACCTAGGTTGACTGCAGGTATATATGCATACACATACAGGGTGTCAAAAACAAACAAAACGATGATGTTCAACATATTATATGGCTGATATTGTTTTTTTTTCGTTGAAACTATGTCTTCTTTTCGTTTCCCTTTTTTTAACTGATTTTTAAATTTATGTTCATGAAAATTTTATTCGTGTATCTTAATGTTTTATTTAAAACTAGGCTTTTCTATTTCAATTGTGAACATTTTCTCTTTGTATACACTGTAAACAAAAACAAACAAAAAATTTCACGGATTTTATAAAAAATAATCGTGGATTCCCTTGGGTCACGTGAGGTACCACACACAATTTGGGCCCGATTGGTTCTGCCGTTTTGACGTTTATTGGATACAAACGAACAGACAGAAAAGCAAAGTATATATATATATATATATATATGTTTCCATATTTTGTTTGTTTATGTTGTATATGGTCGTGGCTGACGCTGACCTATACATTTTCTTGACAAAGATTGCAAAAAAAAATCAGTGCAAATACCATACAAGGCAAAATTCAAAAATCTGCAACATCAAACTCGTTGGGTTGCAGTAAATTTTTTATAACATCCGACCCCCCTTGAAGGATCAACTTAACCCCATCCTGGTATAATGATCAATAAAGTTTCAGTCTTTCAATGCATAATTTTTCACACGTGGCACTTAACCCTATCCATTTCTCGGGGTTATAATATAGGTTACCCATAGGGTTAAAATAGGGGAGTTTTTCAATATTTATTTATTTGTTTCGTAACTGTTGCTAATTTTGTTCGGGTGAAATTGTGATTTTTGGATCGGGTGTCTCCACTGTCCATATCGTTTTCTTGAAATGATTTCATATCATATTAAAGTAACTCTAAATAGAGACACACATATTTCATTTTTCAACTTTTTCCTGTGTGCCGGGGGGCGGGGGGGGGGTCCTTCAACGATGAAAACAATCTGAAAGAATCAAAATTTTCCAACGACATAGATTTTATCAAAACCCGTCTCTCTACATCTCAAATTTCTTTACGCTATATTTGGTGTGAACAAGATTTCAACCTTTGGGTTTTTAATAAAATAGATAGTTAGCTAAATTTAAGTGATCTTCCATTGCCAGATTTACAACAGTACCCTTGAAACATTAATCTGATCAAATATGTAGCAGATACCGACGTTTTTATGACTCGAAAGTGTTTATTTACGTGGGTTTCTCTATTGCTTCTTATAAACAAGAAATGCGCAAGTCCCATTCGCAAAAAACTGCAAATTAAATGAACAGCTTAAAGAAACAAAAGCATTGATTTATGATTCATACTTGATCAGACAAAACTTTCAAGGGTAACCTTGTAAATCGGGCATTGCCATCTTTCCATGGAGGGTTGCTGGAAATTGCTCTTATACAGTCCCTTTAAGTATAGAAAACTTTTAAGCCTGAAAGCTACTTGTAAAGGATAAAAGGGTAAAATTACACCCTGTTAGACCGGTATGGTATCATTTAATGATGGGTTATACTAGACTAAATATTTTATTCTTCAATGTGACGCGGGGGAGCATAAAGTGTGGATAATTATCTCGGCTAAATAAGTAAAAGGCGGAAAGTAAAAGCGTGTTTTAAATTATAGAGTTTACGGGAAAGGAGTTGTTCGCCCCCCCCCCCCCCGTTACAATATTAATATTTTTCTATATCAGATAAATAGCATTGAAATTACACACTTGCAAACCCCCACCCCTCCCTTTCCTTTCTTTCCTAAAATTTAGTTTAAAGGGACTGTAAGCGTAACTTTAAGTGGCACTTGATGCAACAGTATCTTTGAAACCTGTATCTGATTAGTAATGTACCAGATATTGTCGTTTTTCTAGTTTTAAAAGTGTTTAATTCTGAGGATTCCTGTAAGTTTTCCTGCTCGAAAAAACAAGTCACTTAAATCTAGAGAAACCACAATTGGAAAAAAATTAGTTTTTAAAACTATAAACAGTGATATCTTATTCATACTTGATCAGCTACAGGGTTCAAGTGTAGCGTTCTGAATTGAAAATAGCATTTTCTGTGCATGAAGGGTTACTTGAAACTACGCTAAACGGTCCCTTTAAATGTTATTTTGAAGAATGATTTGAAAGACCGAGCCTATACAGTTCCAAAATATTGTCAACATGGATATAAGACTGAAAAGCGTGATGTAATCTCAAGAGAATCTGAAATATGTTATCTATAAAATAATGATAATTATAGATGTAAAGAAATATAAATATAAATATTAAGAAATATAAAACTAATCATGAAAATAGTGTTTTTTACAAAAAAATGTGATATCTACAAAATTGCTTTCCCTATTCGGAATCCCGGTTCCCGATACTGGGCTTCAACCATAGAGAATAGAATATATAGAGAGGAATTTACTATAGAAAAAAGTGTAAAACGGCCATTTTGTTGTACTGTTTCCATACTGCAGGTGTACTTCACATATTTGCGCTATAAAACCTGTTGGGCCTTGGAATATAATTTATAGAAAATCTAAAATTATTGTTAAAAGAAAACCAAATTATGAAATAGGATGGTTTCATAATTGACCAATGATCATTTCACATAGACTCGATATGCCTTCCACTTTAAAAACGATGATTTTCCGTTATAACTATAAAGAAAATGATGTTTTGATTTACCTAATTCATTATAAAGTTTATGTAACAGTTTAAAAAATTCGAAATTGAAATGGATAGTCTAGGGAACATACTGTATTAATGTACTCTACTGCATATAATTTGTGAACATTTACATGATTTGTACACTTTGAACTTCCTTTTAGTCTTATAGGGACTGAAAAAATTCATACCGAGAGATTCTTTAAATTCCCCTCTAATATATATTTTATTCTCTATGGTTTTATACCTCTCATAAGTTTCGGGCTCTCGAGGTTTTAATTGAGAACTAGCTTTCTTTCTTTCTTTTAATTCGTCTCTATATATTCTATTCTCTATGGTTTCAACCAGTGACCATGTCTTAAGTTTTTGTTTCAGTATAATTACTGAGTTAGTACAATATGTACAATGTACATCCAAAAATCCTGACTTGATGTATAAAATAGCCCACCCCAGCATGTTTTCAGTACACTGTTGCATGTACTATAGTATTATGAAACCAATCAAACTTTGTTTAAATGCTAAGTTGTTGGTGAAATGTTTAGATATATCACTTTTATGTCGTGATTGCGATTACATTATAACCAAACCCTGCATATATGCAGTACACTAGGTATCTATGTATTGTACTGCTATTACTACACAACCTACCTGTCTTTGCTTGTATGTTTGTAAACAAATCTTGCTGGAGCCCAGTCCACAAAATCATCAACAATCTGAAAAAAAGCTTTAGATAAAAAATGCTTAAATTAGCCCAAATAAATAATTAACATAGAATGCTCAATTGTTCACAATTGAAATCAACTAACAATTTAAGGAACAATCAACTTATCTGCTTTTGCCGTAAAAATAAATTAATTAAATCTAAGACATGACTCGGAAGGGTTACATTAATATTATCTGTCAAGTGACCTAAAATTCAAATAGAGGCCTGCTCCATTAGCAACAGTGCCTTGAAACCCACATCTGGGCAAAAATGAAGATTGTATTTTAATTTACAACTTGGTTTCTGCCGATTTTGCAGCAGAGACAATAAACGAAATTGTCCGAATTTAACCCTTTTCCAGAAAGATTAACGACCATGTCTTCCTAAAAAAAGCAAGGGGGGGGATGAATTCTAAATTAAATTGGAATTCTATTTCTACTAATCTTACTTCTGTTACTTCTTTCTGTCGTGTCTATAGGAATAAATGGATGAACACGGTTAAAAATATCTTAATTAACATTAGAGCAAAGTCCTATTAAAGGGACTGTCAGCATAATGTCAAATAACCCTCCATGCACAAATGGCGATGACTGATTCACAACAGTACCCTTGAAAGCTTTGTCTGATCAAGTATAAATTATATATCAATGTTTATAATTGAGGTTTCTCTAAAAAAGAGACTTGCACATTTCTTCTGCAGGAAGAAATATAGCAAATATCAGAACTAAACATTTTTTAACCACATTATTAAACCGATATAGGTTTCAAGAGAACCGTTGTAAATCAGGCTTTGCCATCTTTGCATGGAGAGGATAATTTGAAATTAAAACACACACCTCATATTCTCCATTGCAGTCCGCATAATCAGCTTTTCCTACAGATAGGCTAGGACACGAGGGGGACTCACGGTCTAAACAATACCAATTTAATTACAATTTTTATAAATTTAAGTAATTGATTAATATTTGAAAAATTTGAAAATAAAACAATTCTTTAATATTCAAACACTTGATTAAGCTTATAGATTTAATAAATAAGTTTAATATTTTATAAAATAATAGAATTAATATTTTAAATAAATATCAAATAAATCATTTATCTTCTAAAATAATGTACAAAAAGTAATACTTTAAATATATATATATATATATATATGTATAACAAGTATGTAGATAAAAGTATTGATTCTTTGCCACAAACTCTGATTTTCGAATCCTTTATTTGCATCCCAATGTCGTAGACCTTAGATAATTCTATGAATTCTGTTAGATTAAATAAGCTAAGTTTAAAATATCAAATGTTTGCATCATCAAGTTGCAAAGATATAGAGATTCGAAAATTAGAATTTGTGGCAAAGACTCAATTCCTTTTTTAAAAATAATATTTGATATATCTATCTAACAAATAGATTAATTCATCTTTTGGGTCATTCAACCCCGTAGATTTAAACGATGCATAAGGAGACAGCTTTTCTGTATTATCAGATAATACAGGTTTTGGAGTATTGTATTCAGTAACCTTTCACAATTTGACAGGTATAATATCAATTTTCGGCTGTCATGTAAAATGTTTTTTAAAGGGAGTGTTTGCGAAAATTGGTAGGAGGAATTAGGACGAATTCTAATCAAATTTGAATTCGATTGTTACTAACTTTAGTAGAATTCAGTATAATCCTTTTATTTTATTTTTCGCAATTTCTCCCTTTAAATAACAGTGTTTCTCACAAAAAATTTAAATTTAAATAATATCAATTAAAAACTTGAACTTTCCTTAAAATTTAAAGTTTCTAAACCTAAATTGTAAACAAAATGGTAAAGGTTACGGAGTACTAATTCAATTTATGCGAAATTGAACTGGTCAAAAATAATATGATTATATGAAAGATAAAATGTGGAATATTTAATTGTATAAATTAATGAAAAATACTTTCTTTAAAATAAAAGTGGAAAGGGGAGTGGGATGGTTAAACAACTAAATATTTTTTTTGTCATTTATTACTATTTCTGGCAGTATGTTTTGAAATTCATAAAATAAAATATGTATAAGGAATCAAATCCTAAAAGAATTTACAGCTCGTTAAAAATGCAAAAACGAGTTTGCAAATGTGAAAAACAAAAATTAGTTAAACTGAGAACTTTGTGTACACAATGAAACCGGGGGGGGGGGGGGGGGGGGATACTGACCTGAAAGGCATTTGTATAAATAACTTATTTCAGAAAAAAATAGTTTAATATTTTTAGATCAACATTTAGTGAAAAGTTTTGTCATGTTAGTAAACAAAATTGAGTATTAGTAACAGGGTGAGCAAGAATAAAATGCATGCAAGACTGTCCTACAGGGTGTCTAAATAATATTTAGTCCTGGGATAGTTGTCCTAAAGTCTGGAAGGGAGGCTAGGGATGATGTCTGAAATATAAATTTTAATCATTATTTACAGGTCATGTTAAAGGGACAGTTTGTAAGATTTTCAGTGATAGGATTAATTTACTACAATAAGAAATTTAACAAGTGATCGATCGACCATTTATAAAGAAGCATGTCCAATTCACAACAGTACCCTTTAAGTCTTTGTCCGGACAACGATGAGGTACAAACCCTCATTCGTATAGCTGATGATTAAGTGCCCGGGAGACTCGAGGTTACAGTGTACACTGTACACTCCGTGCTAGTGTACACTCGCGCGTTTCTTGGCACTTAATTTCCCGCTATATAAATAAGAATATCTACGAAATACTTGATTAAATCAAGGTTAAAAGGGTATCCCTGTAAATCGGACATGCCGAAGGTCACTTGAAATTACACTGTACAGTTCCTTTAAGTGTCAACTGCTTAAACAAATATCTTCAGATGATTTTTGAAACGAAAATATCTCTTTCTTAATCCTTGAATTCATTTTTTTAAACTTATAAAATACCAGTTTTGAAACTTAATCGAATTACAGTTCTTCAGCTAAAACTTTTGTTGTATTTTTTACTTAAAAAATCAGCATATCTGCAGGACAGTAATAAATTGAATTTAAATATTCACTGAAAATCCACGAACAGTCATATCAAAATAAGTATATTTTTGCTGAAGTAATAATAGTGCAAAAAGCATTTATTTTGGTTGCGAGCAAAGTCAGCGACAGTAAGTGACGTTTCTACCTGGAAAAATAACCCTTGGAGCCCGAACAGAATCTAGCTCTAAAATAGTAATACAATAAAAACATATAAAAATCGGTTTCGGCATTACAAGTAGACTGGATCACAAAAGGCTGAATTTCACAAAATGTAATTTGCTAAAGACGGCCGAATTACAATTAAAGTGACGTAAGGTTTATAGTATAGATCCACATAGATCGGTATTTTTGAAAGTTTTGAGGAGCAAGAAAAAAAATCGATCTTTTTTACACGAGTAGGTACATTTTTAGAAAACATATTTGTATTCGGATTTCCTTTCCAGCGGTTTGTATCTCTTATCAACACCAGTAGTCGGCGATAATATCAATACAATAAATGCAATTTTTTATTAATAATGCTAAAGCTAAAGCATATATTAAATAGAAGTTTACAAGTAAAAGCTATTTCTGTTTTTTGAAAGCTTGGTAGAACTGGAAATCAAAACAGAAAGTTGTTTTTATTGTATTAATATATACGACGACGACTGTATGTATATTATTTATTTAATAGATGTAATATTTGTTGCTTATTAGCAAGATGTCTATTCAGGAATCCTGGAATCCGTTTAAGCAAATTCTTCTGAGTCATTAGGCAAACTCGGCAAACAAAAGCATTCATAAGATTCCAATGACAGGATGAAATATTTGAGAATATCACTCTTGATCATTTCATAAATAATTCTCAGAATAGCACAGAGCTGGAATATTCTAGAACGTAAAATTGGGAAAATTGATCAAACTTTAAGCAAACTGTACTGGTACACACAAACTCCAAAATTCGAATAACAAACTTATAATTTGGATTAAATGAAATTACTTTTATTTCAATATTGTTTATTGTTTTTTTCGTTGCCGAGTCGCAACTAGGATGTAGGCCCCATTTTGGAGGGCTTGGGCAATCAGTGATTGTTTATTATAAAACTAGTTCCTGAGCTGTCAGAATACGCTACATAATCCGACCAGAGCTTTTGTTAATCTGCAGATTAATTTAATCTTTATTCGAATCCCGCCTTGTAATTGTACCCAGTCATGGGTTAAAGGGAGCTTTTAATCAGGGGAGGAAAAACTAAATGGATATATGGGAAGTTATAGTTGTTTATAGATCCTAGCATCAAAATTTCCCATAGTGGATAGTGAGATCAAAATTTTAGGATCATGAGAGTATCAAACACAAAGTTCCCAGCTCCCCTCTTTTAACCATTAATAAAGAAAATACCTTCGTCCAATATATTGCATTTATCGTTAGTACAGAGACAAGCTCTGATACTACTCCGCTCATCTCTCTGGGTCCTGGTAGGTTTACAGGTCGGAGCAGGACGGATTGGATAATCAGGGTGCCCCAGGAGAATACTTGTGGTAAAACACTCTCGATACGATCCTGTAATATAAACACGTTTCATGCTTTATGTACGCAAAATTTTCTCCTTAAAGGGATTGAAACGCAATTTTTAAAAAATGTTACGTTTCATTCACAACGGTACCCTTTAAACTTCTATCTAAGCCACAATGAGGAAGATAAGGTCAATTATCCTAAATTTAAGATGTTAGATTTTGATAATATCTTTAAATGTGGCTTCAGCCTAAATCCGCAAAGTCACTTTTAGAGAGGAAAACACCATTGGAAAATAAATGGAGGATCACAACACATTAATCATTGAAATATAAACGTTTATATATTTAAAACTTAGTGTTCAAGATGAAATTAAGGAAAACATCTGAATCTACTGAAAAGTAGATTCAACCTTGTAAAAAATGTGTGTGCCATACATCAATGTATAATAATAGGTTTCAAACTATTGTTAGTAGTTCAGGGGTTACCCACACAATTGATGATACAATATAGTGACGAACTGAAACTATCTTAATCTTTGATTATTACATGTTTTTTTTATATATTTACATGAATTATATTATTGATTACTTTGAAATAAAGAGTAGTTGGCTTATCTTGGTATATATTTAAATAATTTAAAGAATTAACCAAACAGTATGCAAATATACATATATGTTACTTTAGCTTGGGAACCCAGCTTTGTCTCGAAATTAAACTTTCTCCATTAAAATATAAGGCAAATCAGTCAAGGTGTTAATGAGTTATGATCGGACAGACAAACGCCAAAACAGAGATTACTATTATTTTAAAAATGATTGTATTGTTTACAAAAAATTTATTCTTAAATTTTATTCGCTCAATAAAGATACTACCCCGCCCCCTAACACGCTATACTATTGTCGTTTCTTGGAATTTAAATGGGATCGAATAAAAACAGGCCGAGAGATTTACTGGCTGAATAGAAACAGGCCTAAGGATTCACTGTCTGAATAGAAACAGGCCAAGAGCTTCACTGCCTTAATAGGGTAATGTAACACAGATGGTGTATTATGACTTATTCAGGTCAAGATAACCAATTTGGGACAGTACAAATTATAGGCTTGTCCAAATATATGACTGAGTTTCAATAAACATTGAAATATATTTCACGGTAAACTACAGGACATGATAGAAAGTCCGAGGAGTCTTAACTTTAAAACCAATTTTCCCCATCAAATGTATATTTTTCGTATTTTCATTCAAATACTTTTTTGTTAGACTATGTGTTTTTTATATCTAAGTATATTTCTGACAAATTTTGAATAAGATATTAAAATATGACCAAAATATTACGATACAAACAGAATGCACTTCGTTGTAGTTAGTTTTATATGATTTACTTCTTGAAAACAGTTTTATGAAAGACCATCAAACATATTTTAATCGCGGAAAAACATTTTGATTCTTTGTTAATTTTAAAGGTAAAAAGTTAGACAAAATTTTATGTTTGTCAAAAACCGGGATATTTATTTATTATTCATTTAGTATTTAATTATGATAATGACTATCTAGACAATTTTGATATTTATATATTAATATTCATATTTTTTAGATTCTCCCATTTATTATAAAACATAAGTCAGGACAAAGTTTAATAAATTGTTTACATTAGCCGATCATTAAATCTTCTCCCTGAAAGTAAATTTAAACAAATGCGCAAAAAATGTTTTGTTTTTAGCATGAATATTCTAAGAAAAAGGGCCACCGACAAAATGGTGGATAAAGGAGACTTCAACAATAAAAAGAACAGTATCGTAAATTAATGTTTTTCTCTACTTAACGCAGACAGCATTAACAAGCGCTATTTTGTAGGTGTTTAGAAAGGGGGGGGGAGCGGGGGGATATTTTAAGATAAAACAAAGGTTTTGTGAAATGTGCGTTGGAAGGGGGTGGTAGTAATTATTTTGATATTACATTTAATTGAATGAACTTGTTGGGCGTGCGTTGCATGATGCTAATACTTAAAATTTAGAGGATAAATATTACGTTTACACGTTGTTCTTTGTGCAAGCAGTGCTGTTTAATGTACGATAATTTACACTTGTAACGGCAGATTTTAAAAACATTGTTTCCGAATAGTCCGAATGTTGTGTTAATATAATAGATCTCTTTCCCCTATTGTGTACCCCACTCAAACTCAAGAATAAGAATATCTCTTAAAATATATATTTTTTAAATCTTAATATTTAACAATCTGACATATTATTAATCTTTCAGGTTATGTAAAATATTTTTATATATTCTACTTTTATGGATGCAGCCAATTTTTAAGACACGAATGCATCCTATAAGCAAATAATTACTAGGGTTATGTAAGAGCAGGGTAGAAGGGCGGGGCCGTACTAAATTCAATTTTGTTGTTATTTATTACGGTCCGGAAGGGGGGGGGGGGTAATTATGCAATAATTTTTCTGGAAATTTATTAATCTTATCCATTGAGCATTTTTTTCCTTTTTTAATGTGTCATATTAATAAAATTTAAAAAGTTTAAGTTTCCGATTAATATCCAACGCCTTTTCTATTTTTGATGATAAACCTCCTTTTCTAAAAACAATTTTAGTGAACTGTAGCTCTGAAAGTGGCCATTTTGAATCCAAATTTTGACGGATTTTTTTTATTTAAATTGGTGCATTTTCAAAAATAATGATGGTCAAAAATTGTTTTCAGGCAAAATTGTTAAAACTTTGACGGTCCATAAACCTTTCCCGGCCGATTATGTAAGTTGCCAAAAAAATGAAGCCCAAATCAGTTCAGCCGTTTTCACGTTTATCGGATACAAACAAACAAACAGACATAGATATAGAAAATAGAAGATTACTAAGAGAAAACTAAAAATATTCACCTAGTTCTGTTTTAGATTTCCTCCAGGTATAAAGCAGGCACGCTTCTCCATCATTACAGGTTGTAAGCTGACCGGGATTCTGTGGATCAAACCTATCACAGGCTGGAGAATCCCTGTTGAAAAGGGATCCACACGTGTAGCACTGCAACCTAGTTTGTTTACCTACCCTACTCCTGCTCACCCTGCTGCTATTATCAAAAGGAAAAATAAAATCTTGAGCGCGCATACTCAGGTTTGTGAAGAGGTCCCGCGCACGCTCCAGGTAGACGTTGTACTCCACGTCGTTGCAGTTGTCCTGGTCGCACATACAGTACTTGACAGGACCAGCTCCCTTCAACACAAACACAATCCATTCCTGGCAAAATTTAAAAACTTGGGAACACAGCGTTTCCAGGAGTTCCCCCTGTATATATCGACCCACATAATTTAGAATTTTAAAATCAAGCTAAGAATGTTTCAAAACTTAGTGTTCA